CGCAGCGGGTGCAAGACACTCAAGGTCCTCTTGCCTGTCCTCAAGAACGTCCGTGCTAAGAGCACACTCACCCCCGACGGACGGAGGACAGACAGACTCCTTCTCAGCAACAAGACTAGGGGCGTAGTCTAGACGACAGGTAGCAGCAAAGTCAACAAGCTCAGCGACAAAGTCAGACGCAGCAGTAGACTCAAACGACGGGTCAGTGACAACTGTGGCTAGCAGACGCGTGACAGTAGGGTGAGCAGCACGAGCGCGGTCAGAGTCAGGCTCTGGAACATCAGGCAGAGAAGACGCAGGAGGAGACGGCAGAGGAACACGCTGCAGAGGAGAGGAAGGACGTCGGACTACGAGGTGGGTGCCGGGAACAACCGACTGACGCGAACGAGGAACACGACGAACGGAACTACCATAACGGACAGGCGAGATAGGACGCCACGCAAGCTCACGACAATTAGTAAGACCCCTTGTCTGCTCAGTATAAGGAGAAGGAGCAGGCAGCGTTTAGCCAGGCTGTCACGGAAGACCTGTAGCGAAGGGAGACTAAGAACCTGGCAAAGCACAGAGTCAGGCGGTGGCTGAGACGGTAGAGCGAAGAAGGGGGCGGCTGTGCAGTGCCACCAGCACCAGCAGCTCCAGAACCCCCAGCAGCTCCAGCACCTCCAGCAGCTCCATAACCCTTAGCGCCAGCTCCTCCAGGACCAGCTCCACCAGTAGCAGCACCCTCATAACCGGCACCTTCAGTCCCAGGGTCTCCAGCCTCAGTGTCTCCAGCAGTAGCACTCTCAGACCCAGGGTCTCCAGCAGTAGCACCCTCAGGCTCAGCACCTCCAGCCCCAGCAGCTCCAGTACCTCCAGTACGAGCACCTCCGGGACCAGCACCACCCCCAGCTCCAGTGACGTCAGCAGAAGTACCTCCAGTGGCAGAGCCCCGAGCTCCAGAAGCGCGACCCTGACGGCGACCGTACCAGTCGTGTAGCTGCTGTGAGGAAAGAGGCACACGCGGACGAAGGCGGCTACTCCAAGGAGACCGCGCAACAACAGACTCAGAACCCTCAGGCGTCGCACCTCCAGCGCCAGCACGCGCAGCAGCTCCAAAACCTCCAGCTCCAGCGTCACCAGAAGTAGCACCCCCAGAACCGGCACCCCCAGCTCCAGGGCCTCCAACCTCAGAGCCAGCAGTAGCACCTCGAGGTCCAGCAGGACCTCTAGGCCCAGCAGCTCTAGTAGAAACAACTCCAGTAGCAGAGTCACCAGCTCCAGCGCCTCCCGCAGCAGGGCCCCTAGCTCCAGCAGCGCGAATCTGACGGCCAACGTACCACTCACACAGCTGCTGTGGGGAGAGAGGGAGACGATGACGAGAGTGCAGCGGCGAGGCACCAGCAAAGCGACTACGGGGACGGCCGCTCCAGGGAGACTGCTCACCAGACGCCGCAGCGCCCCCAGGTGCAGCACCCCCAGACTCAGCACCCCCAGGCTCAGCACCCCCAGACTCCTCACGCCCAGGCTCAACACCTCCATGCTCCGCACCCCCAGGACCAGCACCCCCAGGCTCCGCACCCCCAGGCTCAGCACCCCCAGAAGCAGCACCCCGAGCAGGACCTGAATCACCAGTGACCTCAACCGGCGCAGTCAAGGGAGGAGGGTCTACCTAAGACACACCTGAAGGAGTAGGACCAAGAGTGGGGAGGGGGGCTACCTGGGGAGCACCTGGTGCGAGGAAGAGCGGCGGGGGGGGGGGGGGGAGAGGGGCATTGCGGTAGGGGAAGAGACGGTAAAAGGGAACCGACTCGTCGAACGTGACGTCCTGAGAGGGGAAGACATGGCGCGAGGTGGGGTGGTAAAACTGCCAACCAGGCGGGTCAGGGACAAAGCAAAGGAAGAGATAGGGAACAGTGCGGGCGGAGAGCTTGTCCGCGGTGGTATCACGGACAAAGGCACGAGAACCCCAGACCCGAAACACCGACGCATCGCCAACCTTCCCCGTCCACCTCAGTGTGGGCGAGGTCTCCGGTAAGGAGACACGGGGCCAGAGTTTGAGCTGATGCGCGGTGTAGCGGACCGCAAACGACCACAGAAAATGGGGTGCAGCCGAATGGACCATGGAGGTACAAGCGACCTCCATAACCAAGGCAATGCGGCGCTCAGCAACCCTATTCTGCTGCGGAGAGGCCGGAAGCGTGAACGTCTGGCGAATGCCCTCCCCACGACAAAAGCTCTGCAGGAGGTCGGAGGAAAACTCCCCACCTCTGTCAGAGTGTAGACGCAGGACGGGAAAGTCCGTCCCGAGCCGCTCGCGGAGCTGGAGACGGGCAGCGCGGATCCAAGGGATCAAAACATCAGGGACCTCACCCTTGGTGTGCTAGGGGAAGACCGTGGAGTAACGCGAGTAGTCGTCAACAACCAGCAGGAAGTACCGCTCGCGGTCCTTCCCACTGACGCGGGCTGGGCCCCACACGTCCATGTGCAGGGTCTGCAGGGGAGCAGACGTCGGGGGAAATGAGGAGGAGTGAGGAGCGGCGCGCTGCCACCCCTCGAGGCAAGGAAGACAGGGAGGAGCAGGTGAGGGAGGGAGGGGAGGGAGAACCCGGGGAAGACCAGAGACAAGGACACGGCGGTGCATGCTACGAAGGCGCTGCACCGAGGGGTGACCAAGACGGTGGTGCCAAAGGAGGGTCTGGTGCGACAAAGTGCGACACGAGCAGGGGGCCGCTAGCTGACCTGACGCAGACGCATACGCAGCAACCTGAGGGGACACAGTAGTCAGCGTGTACAGACTCGAGCCAGGTGCACGGGTAAACGTGGCCAGGTGCCAGCCCGTCCGGGAGCACGTACAGTGGGTCACGCGCTGACCTCCAGGGGTGAACTGGTCAACCCACTGGTCCTGGAGGTCAGCACCACTCACCAAGTTCGTAGAGAACGAGGGGAGGTGAAGACTTGACAGGGAGCTAGACGGGACCATTGGACACGGCAAGACCGTGGAGGAGTGCGCAAGGACGGGACCCCCAGAGGGGTCTGCCAGGGAGACTGAGCGGCGTGAGGGTGGTGCTGTCGCGAAAGAAGGAGCGGGAAGCACCTGAGTCAAGTGTGAAGGTATACAAGGCCTCAGTAGGCGTAGTACCAGAGAGAGCAGACCCACCAGTACCTGGAGCAGCAGCCTCACCAGCACCTAGAGCAGGAGACGCACTAGCACCTAGAGCAGCAGCCTTACCAGTACCTAGAGCAGCATACTCTATACCTAGGTCAAGCGGTACGCACAGATAACAGGCACCGTCAGCACTAGTAGGCAATGCATACATGGCAGTGAGAATTGCATCATAGTCAAGAGCAAAGATATCTACCCTCTGCCTAAGCTACTCCAGCCAGGTGGGGAGCTCAGCCTCGTCGCCAAACTCGGTACGCCAGGCGTCGCTCAGACGGGCAAAGCAGCGGGGCTGTGTGTGACCAAGCGTCCCGCAAGCCTGACCAGCCCGATCACCTGTGCGAATGACGTACGGGCAGCGAATGGTACTCTGAGACCCTCTAATCTGAGGTACCACTCGTGAAGCTGGTGGGACGTAAGTGTCTCGCGTGGACGCCGCTGCAGCTGCAGCTGGCCACTGCCAGACGCTCCCAACTGACCAGCTCCAGGGCGACAGCTATGACGGTTACTGCCACAACCCCAACTAGCATACCACTCACGAAGCTGCTGGGGCGTGAGAGACTCGCGTGGACGTCGCTGGAGCTGCATCTGGCCACCGCCAGAAGCAGCAGTAGCAGAAGTAGCAGCAGTAGCAGCAGCAGCATCCTAGCAGTAGTAACAAGAGTAGCAGTAGTAGCAGCACGGGCAGGGCAGGTGCGGCAGGCAGGCAGGCAGATGGCGCGGCAGCGCGCGAACAAGGTAGGTGCTCACCAGTGGCGGGAAGGGCAGGCGCTCGCCTGGCGAGCAGGGCCGGCGCTCGGCGGGCGGCGGCCGGGTAGGCGCACGACGGCGGCGACGGCGGGGCCGCGACAGCTGTGGCAGAACAGAGTCGCGTCGGCAGTAGAGCAGGTCCGCGACAGGTGCTGCAGGGCGGGGCCGTGACCGCTGCAAAGCGGGGCCGCGAGGACTGCTGCAGGGTGGGGCCGCGAGAGCAGTAGGAGGCTCCGCGGCAGCTTCTGCAGGGCGGGGCCGCGACCGTGGCAGGGCGCTCCGCGGCAGCTGCTGCAGGAGCGACGGCGGCAATCAGGCAGGGGCGGCGTCCAGGGGGGGGGGGGGGGGGGGGCGTCGCGTCGAACAGGGGCAGCCGAGGTGCGCGGGGCTGCAGCGGGCTAAGCGAGCTGCGGGCGCGGCGCGTGAAGCCGCAGCGGGCCGCGCGAGGACGGCAGCCGCGGCGCGCGGGGCTGCAGCGCGACACGCGGGCAGCGGACGCGACGCGCGGGGCTACAGCAAGCAGCGCGGGCTGCGGACGCGGCGCGCGAAGCAGCAGCGAGCCGCGCGCGGGCTGCCGAGGCGCGACTCGGACAGCTTGGGCGACGCGCGGGGCAAAAACCGGGCCGCGCGCAGGAATCAGGTCTGCGCGCTCTAAGCAGCAGCAGACTGCGCAGTCAGCAGACAGCAGGCAGCAGGCAGACGGCGCGCGCACCGCAGCACGTCACAGGCACAGTCACAGTCACAGTCGTGGGATAGCAGTAGGTGGGCCCTAAAAAAAACGGTCCTACGGACCTACTGCTCTGAAACCATGTTAGAATCTAGAGAAAGGAATGAATCAACTATGAAAGAGTTGGGTACAAGTATGAAATCCTAAAATGGGCTGCACCCCATATTGGCTACCTCACTACAGCCTACACATATTTAACATGCATATACTTTGACAACTACCGCTTCAGAGACATGAGAAAATATAGAATAAACAATATACACTACACTCCGAGAACAAGAAGCTCAACCAGTCTATTTGTACCATTCAGTGAACTTTTTCCAGAAAATAAGAACAAAAACCCCTACACCAAAGAGCATGACCGGTGAGGATGGGGCGTTGTTATGCGTTGCAAGCAGGCTGGCAAAGTGGGGGTTGTGGGAGACGAGAAGGAGAAGCAGACCAAGGGAAAAGAGCAGACCCCCTGCTGCCACCAGGGAGCGACTCAAGAAAGGCTCCTGGTGGAAGATGGTAGAGGGATGATGAAAGAGAGAGAATGGGGGAGGCCCGGAGGGGAATGAGAAGCAGGCCAAGGGAGAAAAGGAGACCCCCTGCTGCCACCAGGGAGCGACTCAAGAAAGGTTTATGGTGGGAAGGACGATGGAAGAGGTGGGGTGAGGGGGGGAGAAAGGGGGAGTTTGCAAGCAGGGTGGCGAAGTGGGGGTTGTGGGAGACATGGAGGAGCAGCAGAGCAAGGGCGAAGAGAAGAACCCCTGCTGCCACCAGGGAGCGACTTAAGAAATGCTCCTGATATGGGACATTGGGAGAGGTGGAGAGAAGGGCGGAGGTTGCAAGCAGGGTGGCAAGGTGGGGTTGTGGGGGATGATGAGGAGCAGCAGACCAAGGGCGAAGAGAAGACCCCCTGCTGCCACCAGGGAGCGACGCAAGAAAGGCTCCTGATGGGAAGGAAGTGGGGGAAGTGGGGGAATATGCGAATGGGGAAGATAGGAGATGGGGAAAGAGGGAGAAGGGGAGAGGGGAAGGCCGGGAGAGGGTGAGAGGGAAACAGGCTGGGAGTGGCTGACAGAGGGACGGGGATGAGAAGAAGGCGAAGGGAGAAGAGGAGAACCCCTGCTGCTACCAGGAAACAAACATAAAAAGGCTCCTGGTGGAAAGGATGGGGGGAGGGGGAAAGTGGGGGAGAGGCGGAAAGTTAGAGAGCGAGTGGGTGAAGATTGGGAGACAGAATGAGAGCAGACTGAGGGAGGAGAAGAGACTCAACAAGGTCTGGTGGGAGGACCGATGGGAGAGGGGAGAGAGGAGGAGAGAGGGGGAGAGGGGGGAGGTGGAAAAAGTATGTGAAGCGGAATGAGGCGAAAGAGGAAACTGCTTCTACGTGGGAACTACTAAAGAAAGGCTTCTGATGGGAGAGAAGATTGGAGAGGGGAAGAGGTTGTGAGCGGAGGGGAGAGAGAAAGGTGGTGGAGGACGGGTAGAGGGGAGAGAGGGGGAGGCGGCCACAACCCGCTGCCCTCACGTGCACACTTGGGGTTTCCCATCGAGCAGAATTTGGCTGCCTGGCTGGCTTGCCCCAGTAGTAGGTCATCAACAACAATCGAGCAAAATTTGGCTCCCATCCGCGGCTGCCTGGCTTGCCCCATGCCGGTATAATGCTGCGCCCCCCTACCCCACCCCCCCCCATCCCCCTGCACACCCGCCCATCCCGCAGCAAACTCCCCACCCACCTGCCCTCGCAATCGCCCACCCCGGTTCCCCATCGGGCGTGATTCGTCAGCGGCAGACCGTTTTGCCAGTTCACTACCACCTCCAACCAGCACCCCAAACACCCCGCAGCACCCCCCAGAAACCCTTGGCAACCCGCATTATTCCCCTGCTCTCACAAGTCGTCAGCGACAGTCCGTTTTGCGGATTCACCACCAGAGCTTCACCCCGCCTGTCGGAAACTCCCCTCTCCCATGGTTGCTGTATCTCTCTCCCAGCCTATTCCCTCCTGTTGCCTTGCTCCCTTACTGCACTGCTCAGGTACCCGTGTGCCAACCCAGCCCTTTTTTGCTGTGCCCTCGCTTCTCCTGCTCTTCTCTCCCACCATCCTGCACCTGGTTCCATCCTACGGCTCCCCTTACCCTCCTCTCTGCCCCACTCCTTCCTCCCGTGTGGTCTTTACCCCACTTTCTCCTTCCCTTTGCCTTCATCCTTCCTTTTCTCAGTACCTCCTTGCCCCCTCCCATGGCACATGGCCGCCGTCCTCGCGCGTGTCATGGGACCCTGAGGTACGTCCTTGCCCCTCTCCACCCGAATCCTGGCCACATTCGTCACGTGATCTGCCACCCGCTTCCCCGTCCCGTCCTCCAGCACTATGACTCCCGATGGCCGTACCTCCTTCACCGTCCACCGCTGCTGCGAGAGCCCCACGTCCAGGGCGTGCTTCCGCTGCCGCCGAAGGTATACCTCTTCCTCCTCCCGCGCTCCGGTCCTAGCTCCTTTGCCGTTCGCCTCCTGTCGCTGCTTGTACCTCTCGATATCCCGCAGCTGAGCAACGTGCAGGTTCTCCAGGGCTGCTGGCAGTAGCTGCCTCAGGTACGCCGCCCGTGCATCCGCCACTGCCACCCACTTCTCAGCTGAGCCTGTAGTGACCACATCCAGGAGCAGCCGTGGCGCTCCCACCGGCATAACCGGCTCCTTGCCGAACAACAGGTAGTAAGGCGACACGTCCTTCAAGGCTGCCTGCTTGCTGAAGCAGTAGCCCGCCATGACCCAGCACAGTTTCCTATCCCAGTCCCGCTTGTGCTCCTCCCCGTAGGCCCTCAGCCCTCGTTTGACCGTCTGCACCAGCCGTTCTGTCAAGCCGTCGCTCTGCGGATGGTATCGTGAGGTTGACCGATGCCGTATGCCGCTGGCCTTCAGCAGCAGGTCAAAGGCCCCTTCGAACTCCGTGCCTTGATCTGTCAATACCTCCCCGCATGCCCCCAGCCTGGTTATAACCATCTCCTCAAACGCCTCTGCCACCGCCTCGGCCGTCTTGTGCACTAGCGGCCTCGCTTCGGCCCACTTGCTGACATGCTCTACCATGAGGAGGATGTACCTTCTCCCCTTGGTTGTGACCGGCAGCTCCCCTGCTATGTCCAGTGACCAGCGGTAGCCTAGGCTTACTATGGGCAAGGGCTGCAGCTCCGCCTTCTCCCTCTCCAGCACCGCTCTGTTCCTGCAACATGCCTCACACTTCTCCACCCACTCCTTAATCTGCCGCCGCATACCCGCCCACCACCATCCCGTCTGTACTAACTGCTGTGTGCGCAGCGGCCCGTAGTGCCCCAGCTTCGTGTGGACTTCCTTGATAATGGCCTCTCGCTCGGCCGGCGCCGGGACGTGCTTCCATCCTTCCCCCGTGCGGAGCTGGACTTGTTCTTTGAACCAGCGGTAGTGCTCTCCCCTGGCGCGCACCCTGGCTGGCACTGCTCCTTCTTCTGTGGTTGCCCTCTGTATCCAAGCTAATGCCTCCCGATCCTCCCAAATGTCTGCCGGCCCCCCGTTAGTCTCCCCCCATGCCTGTCCCCTGTCTGCCTCTTTCGCCATGGCCATGAGGCAGGCCGATGGCTGCACCTCCGGCGGATTCCTGGACAGGCCGTCCACGTGCTGCATAGTCTTGCCTGGGCGGTGCCGGATCTCAAAATCATATTCCTGTAGCTTCATTGCCCAACGAGCGTTCCTCCCAGTCAGGTCAGGTGTCTGCATAAGCCAGAGCAGCGGCTGGTGGTCTGTCACCAGCGTGAACTTCCTTCCCTGCAGGTAGACCCTGAAGTGCTTCACCGCCCAAACTACCGCCAGCCCCTCCCCTTCGTACGATGAGTAGTTGGCTTCTGCCGCGTTGCAGCTCCGGCTAGCTAAGGCCACCACCTTCTCCACCTCACCCTTCATCTGCGCCAACACCGCCCCCATGCCCGCACTACTCCAGTCGGTGTATAGGGTGAAGGGCAAGTCTGCTCTGGGCAGCTCCAGCACTGCCCCATTCTTCACGGCTCCCATCAGGTCCTGCACCGCCCTCTCTTGGTCTGGTCCCCATTCCCACGGCTTGTCGTCCCTGAGTAGCTGGTTCAGTGCTGCAGCGCGGCTACTGAAGTTCGGGACGAACTTGCGGTAGTAGTTTAAGAACCCCAGTAGCGCCCGCAAGGTAGTCCGGTCCTTCGGTGTGGCCACGCGGTCCAGTACTTCCACTTTCGCCTTCTGAATCCCAATCTTCCCCCCTTCCACCTCGAACCCCAGGTACTCGACTGTCGTTTGCCCGAACTTGCACTTCCCTGGATGGCAGGTCAGACCTGCCCCCTGAATGGCGCTCAGCGCGGCCTCTACGTCCTGCACGTGCGAGCTGCTGTCTGTGCTGAACACGATGACGTCATCGATGTAACATGCTGCGTTCTTAACCTCCCGCAGCACCTGGTCCATGACCCGCTGGAACTCTGGCGATGCGGTCTTCAGCCCGAAGGGCAGGAAGTTCCATTCGTATTGCCCGTCTGGCCCATGAAACGCCGTCTTCTTCTTGTCTGCTTCGGCTATGGGGATCTGGTTAAACCCCTGACGCAAGTCCAGCGTAGTGAACACGAGCGCTTCGGCTAGCAGATCAAAGATTTCGTCCGGCATTGGCGTCTGATACCTTTTCATGATCATGATTTTGTTGAGGCCCCGGTAATTCCCACACATTCTCTTGGAAAGCACCATGCCTGTCAGGTCTGTTAGTGCTGCTACCACCGTGGTTGCTGCGTATTCTGAATTTGATTTTCGGATGAAGCCTGCCGCCAGCAGCTCCTCACATTTCTCCTTACATATCTGTGTCTCTTCCGCTGTCATGCGTCGCCGCCGCTGATACACTGGGATGTCTGTCGTCAAATCCAACGTGACCACCGCCATGTTGCACCGCCCAACCTCCTTCAGTGAGTATGCGAACGCGGCCCGGTGCCTAGCCAGGACTTCTTTCACCTTCGTGGCGTCCTCCTCCGACACCCCTTCTCCGGTTACCCACTCCGGCTGTCGCTCTGCCTGCTGCGCTGGCTCTTCCTTCACGGTCGGCTGCTCTGCCTCCTCCCTTCTCATGGCCGTTGCCCCTCCTGTCTTTGTGTTGCTACCCGTGTGCTCACTTCCTGCTGTCTCCGTGACCGAAGCTGTCTCTTTCGTTGCTGCCATGAGGGCGAAGCCGATGTAGCCGAACTCCCTCTCTTCTCGCTCTCGGCGCCGCTGCCTCTCAATTGCCTCTTCTAGCCAGCCGAAGTCTTCCCGCTTCTTGTCCACCGATTCCTCCTCACGCTCTGCTGGCAGCCAGATCTCCTCCTGCTCGGCGTACACTGCTGGCCTTTCATCATCCTCCTCCCAGGGGTAAACCCATCTTCGCTCCAGTGGGTGCCCCCGCTCATGTTGCCGCTCGTCGTGTTCCTCTATCTCACCCAGCATTGCCCGCGCCATGGCCTCCTTCGCCGCCGATCTCTCCGTAGGTGGGCGCACTGCCGCTGCCTTGTCTCTCTTCCGCTCCCACCGCAGCTGGGAGTGGTACATCCGGATGGTGGCTACGAGCCAATGCATGACGTTGAGATCCATGGTCCTGCCCAGCGCTCTCCTTCTCTCGTCTTGCGTCACCTCCGGGTGTGCGGTTGCGTCCTCCATGAAGCCCATTGCCAGCTCCCTCTCCAGCGCCGTAGGTTCCTGCCACTCCCCGGCCGTGCAGTCGTAAACCATGCCTGGGCATGGGTCGTCCCCGTGCATCCTGAAGGCTGCCGCGTTTCGGTAGGAGACGAACGTCGGCCAGGCTTGCCTTGGCTTCCCTACTTCGTTACAGGGGAACTGAGCTGGGTGGTCCAGCCTTGTCACCGGTGCCGCCAGCCTCCCTGGTTCCATGATGTCCTCTACCAGGCGGGGAACTGGCCGCTCCATCAGGGATAGGCGATACTGTAGTGCAGCGTCACTGACCCCATTCGTCCAAAATCTTCGCACTCGGTGTGTCCTGCTCCCTATTTGCGCTCCGTCTATCACCACGCCTGGCCCCAGCACCGCCGTGATTTCCTCATGCGCCAGCTGCACCTGCTCCCTTATGTCCCCTTCCATATCCACGTTCTCCACTATGTAAAGCACGTCTCCCTGGATTCTTTTGATCAGCCCCAACACTCACTGCAACTCCCGGAACAAACTGCTCCTTTCGTCTCTCATGCCTCTCCCTTCTCCTGCTCGTGAGTAGCCCTGGCACTCCCATCCTGCCACCACTATGTCAATTCTCCCCCATTCGCGCAACTGCTGTTCATCGACGCGTCGGATGTCGCTGGCCCCGCATAGCATACTGTGGTCCAGGGTGGCGGTGCAGAATTGATGCGGGTAACGTTCATGCAACTTGTGTGCGTGGCACACTGCCATCTTAGCCGCCTCCATGTCACTCACCACCAAGATCCACTTCTCCACGCTGATACCTGACTTCAGCACCGCCGCCAGCCCCGTTCCTATACCGCCAAAGAGGTCGAGCACGACCGTCGGTCCCAGTAGCCGCTTGGTGTCGGTGCACAGCGCCTTGAGGTCTGGTTCTCCCTCCGCAGGTTCCGCCTGCGGCGCTGGCAGCCGTGAGATCTGCTGCCAGGTGAGTATGCCCAGCTCCTCCCGTATCTCCGCTTCTGTGCACTGGTAGGCTTCTCGTGGTTCCTTTCTCACGAAGCGCACTGGCAAGGTACCAATTGGCCCGTCGTCTTCCCAGTAGCACACCCGATACTGCACCTTCTCCTCCCACATGCAGATGGTGGCTCCGATCCCGAACAGGTATTCCACCCCGATGAGCAAATCAAAATCCTCTGATTCTGACACTCCGCAGTCCACTCTCAGCGCGCACTCCTCCGTAGTTCCTGGGTTCAGCATTAGGGATATGGATTGCCTGGTCTTGGGCATCCATTTCGCCTCTCCCCCATCGGCCGTCATTAAGAGGTATCCTTCTGCGATCAGCCGTCCCGGCTTGTGCAGCTGCAGCTTTTCCGCCAGGCTCTTGCCAATCAACACATGCGCTGCTCCCGTGTCCACTATTGCTCGTTGCGCCGTGAAGCCTCCGATAGTAACCACTCCGGCGGCTATAGTCAGCACGGTGGCCTGACAGGCCATTCTCTCTCTTCGGTGCCGATATGCTGCTCCCGCTCCCTCCGGGCGATCACTAGCTCGCCGCCTTGGTCCCGCCTCTCGCCGCACGTCTTCAGGGAAGTTCTGCCTGCTTGTGGCCCTCCGCAAGCCCAATTCGTCACGCTCACGCTACGGCTGAGCCATGAGAATAAACTCAGGTTCCTCCGCGTCTTCATCTTCGCGTGCTACCATGGCCGGTTCCTTCTGCTCGGCAGCCTCTAAGTCGGCTAACTGCGCCCGCAGTCGCACGATAGTGGCTTGGCGATCCTCCCCTGCTTCTGCGCCCCGGCGCTCCCGTCTTCCCGCGTAGCAATCCGCTTCGCGGTGTCCTTTGCGATTGCACCGCGTACAAGTTGGCGTGCCTGGGCATTCCCTTCGCATGTGCTCTCGGCTTCCACACAGCGAGCAAGCCGCAGGGTTACGGCAATCTCGTCGGAGATGCCCGGTTAGACCGCAGTTGTGACATCTCCGCGGCTCCTCTCTCGCCCTCTCCTCTGCCTCTGGGTAGGCCGATGCCGCTGCCCATGCCGGCCACCTCCTCTCTGGTCCTCTATCCGTCGTCCGCTCCACTTCATATAGCCGACGCCCGGTCTCCACTCGTTTCACGATCTCATAGGCTTCCCTCAAGGTGGCTTCTGATCCCATTTCGAACACTCGCACTTCCACATCCTGCCGCAGTGGCTGGCTCAGTCCGTTTACAAACTTCCCAATCAGCCGTCCCTGGTCCGTGCAATTCATGTCCTCCCCCAGCTCCACGAGTCTCCCGTAGTACGCCAGCAATGATTCCCCTTCCCGACGACGGAATCCTCGGAACTCGACCACCCTTTCCGCGGTTTGTAGCGGGAACTGCTCGCGGAGCATCGATAGGAAGCGCACCGTCGGGTCCCGTTCGCCTGGCGCTCGTTCCGCAGACCACTCCAGCAGCTCTCTCCTGGAAATTCTGTAGTAGGTCTCCGCCTCGCCCGCCAGGGTATTCGCCAAGCCTCTGAAGAATTCTTCCGGATCCAACCGATCCTTCGCCCAGCGCGCCTGGAGGTTTTCCAGCTGCATGATGTAGTTTTTAAGACTCGCCCCCCGTCTCGCGTCTCCCGAGAATCTCTCCGGCATTTCTATCTTGGGCAGTTGCGTGTACTTCCATCGCTGCAACGTCGCCTCGTCTTCGGTTCCTTGCCACGAGGCGCTCCGCTGATACGCACTTGGTCCCCCCGGCTGCGGGCGCCCCAGCATCTGGCTGCGATGGCGTTCCCGCTGCTCATCGGACGCATTCTTCCCGCTGTCGCCTGGTTCTTCCCGAGCGACGCCTTGCGGACCACTCGCTCCTTCACTGAGGCCCTTCTGGCCCTCCGTTCTTCCTGTCTCCCGCTGACCCCCTTCTTCGTTCAGCATCCTTTCGTTCGAACTAGGCCTGACCATCACCGGCTCTAGCTGTCGTCCCGATCTCAGTTGCACGGACTGCGTGTTTGTAAGTTCATCTACCTCCTAACTCATCCTGACTGCGGTTATGGCTCCGTGCTAAGACTGCTTATCTTGAAAACAGAATGCTGCAGTAATTTACGAAAACAAACACGTAGTGGCAGTCCCATGGCCCAGGACCCTGCCTTAAGCTTCCCTACGCAAACCCTAGCAAGGCTGGCCTAACAATGCAACAGTGCTAGGCTACCTAGCTTGCCATCCACAATGCTTTTCCACCCGTCTCCAGCTGGCGTTGCTGCTTCCCAGCTCTGTCCTGGACTCGGTGTCTGCAAGAAGAAACCAAAGCACACGCATGCACACCACACATCACACAGTATGCTCCCCACCTGCACCCTCCTCCACGTCATCTCGCTGTAACCTTGTCAGCGCACCCCGAATCCAGTTCCTCGCCCCACCTTTCTGCAACCTGTCTCACCCCGCCACGCCGCTGCCGTTACTGCCCTTCGCCACAATCGGTTTCGCTTATATACAAATGTACAGGTTTTTCGCCTTCGCTCTCCGCTACACCCTCTGTCAGGATTTCTTAGGCCTTAACCTTAGAATTCTGACACGCCCGCACATGCCCTCGTCTTCGTCCTGTCCGCGCCCACCCCAAAATCTTCGTATTACCCTGCACCCACCTGCACACCCCCTGCACCCACCTGCACACCCCCTGCACACCCCCCTGCACACCAACTGCACTCATAAGCTCACCTGCGGTTCCCCATCGAGCATTATTGTGCTGCCCCGCTTGCTGGCTGCTACAAGTCGCCAGCGACAACCAGTTCCGCGGATAAGTTAGCCACCAGCTCCAACCCGCGCCCCCCCTCGTCTTCATCCTACCCCCCGCGGGCCACAGCACCCTGCAGCACCCACCTGCACCCCACAACACCCCGAAGAAACTCTCCACCCGCCTGCCCTCACAATCGCCCACCTGCGGTTCCCCATGGAGCGTGATTCGACTGCCAGGCTTGCCGCTGCACATCGTCAGTAACTGCCCGTTCCGCGGATTCCCCACCAACTCCAACTCGCGGGCGCCCTCGTGCTCGTCCTACCTTGCACCGGCCAGCGACCCCCTCCCACTCTCCCTTCCCCCCACACCCCGCACCCCCAACCCCCATCCTATGTTGGAAAAGTCGCCAGAAACCATAAGCGCACTCCGTATAGTCGTTTACGAATATACGGTGTACGCAAGTCGTACGTATATTCGTTGGCGAAAGTTCGGGCTGACCCGAAAAAAAACAAGATTTCAATAGTCGCGCACGAATTGCGAATGTTTGACGCGACTCAAAATGTACGCACGTCCCTGCCAATTTGTACGCACGTCCCAACCACATTGTCACCCACACCTGTCGAAATCTGGGGACGTGGGAAAATTTGAACCGCACTGCACCCTATGCTATCGCGCGACTCCAACACACAAACACGAATGTCGTCAACCAGCGTAGGTGGTTCAACCACATCCTGGACTATAAGGTAAGCTCTCATTCCCGTCATCTGTATTATCTCTCTCGTTCATTCTCTCTCAACACTCCCGCTCACCTGCACTTGATGTCGACTCCTTCTGGTACTCCCGCAAGTGCCACTAGTGAGGCTCCTAGTGTTTCGAATGACGCGACCATGGCGGACGACGAGGATGTTCCTGTGAACACCCATGTTATTTCTAAGCATTTCCTTACCTCTACCGAAGGTACCTCGAATGGTCCTGAGCGTACTCTCCGCATATGCCGGCACTGCAAGCTTAAGTTCGTAGGGGGCGCCTTCCGTTGCGCGCAACACATCACGCGCTGGAAAGGGCTGAAACGGAAGGATGTCCGTCTTGGCAAGGCGCCTATCCCTTCTGCTGACCGCGGCGCCGTCCGCAAATTGTACGAAGGCAAACACGCCCGCAGGGAAGGGAAGAAGAAGGCGGAGGAGATGGCGATCGAGGCGTGTGCGGGTGGAGCGAAGAAGCAGTGCATCGAAGACTTCTACGGGGAAGGGGCGTCGTGTGCGAAGGAATCGGCAAACGACGCCATCTGCCTCATGTGGGCGGCACTTCACCTCCCGGAGCATCTCGCCGATCACCCTCTCTGGCGCAACGCTGTGCGCTGCATCACGGACGCGGGCCATGGCTACGTTCCCCCGAAGCGGCGGTATGTTGGTGGCGCCGGCCTTGCGCGTTGCCGCGAAAAGATCGAGAGGGGGCTCGCTCCCATCACTGCGAGCTGGAAGCGGGATGGCGTGACGATAGGCTCGGACATGATGACGGACAAAAGTGGCCGTCCCCAAGCCAACATCCTGCTCATCAACGATTCCGGTGCAGTGTTCACCGAAAGCATCGACTGTAAGTTGGAGACGAAGACGGGAGGCTACATTGCATCCGTTTTGCGCCCGATCATTGAGAAGGTGGGGCCCGCCAACATAGTTGCGTTATGCATGGATGGGGGCAGCAATTATGCGGCTGCATGTAGGGAACTCATGCTTGAGTATCCTCACATTGAGCATGTGCCGTGCGCTACTCACGTCATGGATCTGCTCATGGAGGACATTGGGAAAATGGATTGGGCGAAGGACATTGTGGCTAAGGCGGGGGTGATTATTACCTTTGTGCGTGCCCACCATTTCACCAAAGGTTACATGCGAAGCCCGCAAGTGAAGGGAGGGAAGGGGAAGCAGGTGCTGAAGCCGGCGGGCACCAAATTTGGCACGCAATTCATTGCGGTGCAGCGGCTTTGCGAGGTGCGGAGTGCATTGACGCAGATGGTGCTGAGCCCGGAGTGGCAGGCTTGGGCGAAGGGGAGGAAGCCGCCGGTCGAGCCCTTCGAAGCCATGATCATGGATGACGTGTGGTGGAAAGGGGCGGAGTTCTTCGTCGCCCTCCTGAAGATACCCTTTGTCGTCATGCGCAAGACCGACTCGACGGCCAAGGGCATGATGGGCAGGATGGACGATCTGATGCTACAGCTCACGGAAGACATCAATGCGAAGCTGGAGGAGGAGGCGGGATTGGTGCTGTCCAGCAGTGAACGCACGGAGGTGACCAACATCGTCCAAAAGCGCTGGGACCATAGCATGGCGTGTGCCATGCACGTGGTTGGCCGGATCCTCAACCCGGTCAACCAAGAGGAAGGCATCTTCCGCACTGACCTGGAGTGTACTCGCGTCTTCAAAGCGTTTGTCGCTCGTCACTACGCAGGGCGGACCGTCACGCGCAAGGATGGCGAGGAGCTGCGCGCATCCCACGTCATCCAGGACGGCCTGACGGCATTCAACACCCTTTAGGGGAGCTTCGGCCTACCCGACGCCATCTCTGACCGTGAGCTCGTGAAGGCCGGTAAGAAGACGGCCGTCCAGTGGTGGACGTGGCACGGGACGGAGCACCCCGAGCTGACAACGCTCGCTTGCCGCGTTATCTCTCAGCCAGTGTCCGCATCGGCGTGTGAGAGGAACTGGGCAGTGTGGGAATCGATCCACACTGCCAAGCGCAACAGGTTGGGGTCCGAGAAGTGTCGGGACCTCGTGTATGTTGCGCACAATTGGAACATTGTGCGCAACTGGCACAAGGGGGCTGAGTGGGTGACGGTTCTCCCGGGGAACATCCCTGAGGCCTCCCTGCCGGAAGGGTACAACGAGGTTCTGGAGGAGGATGAGGAGGAGGGGGAGGAGGATGAGCTAGAGGATGAGTACAAGTAGAGGAGGAAGGAAGGGACGGGAGGAGTAGAGGGTGGGAGTAGGGGGTGGGGTAGGAGAGATGCATGTTGCTTGCTTAGAGTAGTTGAGAATGGTGGGTTTTTTCAATATATGAAATTCGGTAAAACCACCACTCCCCCCCCCCTCCTTCGGCGGTTTTTTTTCGTCTGCCCGGTAAAAACCTTTTGCTGCCCAGGCAGCGTACTTTCTGCGACTTTCAAAGTCACTCACGAAGCGCATAACGCACTATACGCAAGCGTATATGCGCTTGCGTATAATGCGCTGGGCGCGACTTTTCCAACATAGCCCCCATCCCCCAACCCCCGCACCTGCTGCACCCCGCGCCCCCCTGTTCTCAGAAGCACACCTGCGGATCCGCATCAAGGGCGATTCGGCTGCCCGGCTTGCCCGTGTATGTCGTCAGCGACAATCCGTTCCGCGGGTTCCCCACCAGCTCAAACCCCCGCGCCTCCCAGCACCCCTCAGCACCCCCCAGGAGCCCGCAACTCCCCGCCCGCTTGCCCTCACAATCGCATAACTTTGGTTCCCCATCGAGCGGGATTCGGCTGCCTGGCTTGCCGGTATAAGTCGTCAGCGACCGCCCGTTCCGCGGGTTCCTCACCAGCTCTAACGCGCGCGCCTCCCTCTTCGTCCTACCCAGCAGCACCCCCTCCATCCCACACCACCCCGAGGGAGCCCCTCACCCCGTTGCCCTCTCACACCCACCTGCGGTTCCCCGTCCAGCGTAATTCTGCTGCCGGGCTTGCCCGTGTAGGTCGTCAGCGACAGTCCGTTCCGCGGGTTCGCCACCAGCTCTAACCCGCGCACGCCGGTGGACGAGAGCGCGAAGAGCGCCTTGAGCCCGTGTCGCCTTTTAATCGCCGCCACGTCAAGGCGGTCCGCGTGCCACCCCAGCAGCTGCGCCGCGAACGAGCACGCCGGCCCCTTGCCCTTGCCGCTCTTGCCCCGCCCGCGAATGTACAGATCCACGTGGACCTCTCTCATTGGCACGCTCGTGCTCGTAGCTGCCACGTTGCCGTTTTCGATTGGCTCGTAAGCGCTAGTCGCAGCAGCGGCGGATCTCTTAACGAGCGGAGAGGCGGAAGCGGAGGCGGAAGATCTGCTGCTGCCAAGCAGCGGCTCGGCGGCGGAGGCGTGGAGGTCGCGCAGAGACTCGGCGGAAATATCGCCATCGGTACGAGGCGAGGCGGCGGAAACGCTAGCTCCGTTGCTTCGATCGTCGCCGCTCGAGTGAATGGCGGAATGCATCGCGTCCATCCGTTCAGCCATCCGGCCTTGACTACTCAGATCGCACGTGATGGCTGAAAGAGGGGACGGGCGGGTAAAATTGCGAGGCGGGATGGGAAGCGAAGCGAAGGTCCCCAGGCGCACAGGCGCACAGGAGAGTGCGTCGCGAGGCACGTAGAGCAGTTTAGCATAAACGGTGATAGGGTGTTATGGCAAAAGCGGTTAGTGAGGTTTCTACTAGCGAGGATGGTACGTTTTGTGCAGACCAGGCTGACCGTTGCGGATGCGAGTGGGGAGCGCGTGCCCAGTACAACGACACTTCAATCTTGCACATCACCATATTGAACCGTGATACAGAGTAGACCGTAAAGAATGTACATAAAACGAACATGCGGTCACTTCATCGCAACTGTCGTGAACATTGTCAAAAACGTGCAAGCCGAGTCAGAGCGAAGGGGGCTCCGAGCAAAAACTCACGCCGATGCCGGGGATCGAACCCGGATCTTCCGCGTGACAGGCGGAGATACTGACCATTATACTACATCGACATGTCATAGAATGCAATAACAATAATTCAGTACTGCGCAAATAACATACCAGACGCAAAAGCAACAAACATCCTTTTGTGGCAGCTAAGAAACTTAGCACAATTTTGTGACGTCAGAAGCAACGCTCAGACGAGATGGAGGGAGGTCGTAACGTCGTGGACGCGGCTGGTCGAGGCGAGCCAATGGACGAGCATGTCGTGAATGAAGCGCCGTACGATGCACAGGTCCTGCCGTCGTTGACCCGTCCGCCTGTGCGACCCGCGACCGTGAATCTCTCGATGGATGACTTTCTCTGTCCTATCTGCCGCGATTTGATCTTCAAACCCGTTGTCAACGGTGCGTTTTCGCCTGCAGCAACGATTCCGCGCTTCTCTCCTTTCATTGCGCGCGTCAAGCTTAACCGCCAGTTTAAACGCTAATGTCGGCTTCGGCACCCAGGAGAGATTCGATTCGGACCTCGTCGGGCGTGACCGGAGGCATCGGCTGACCTCTCCCCCTCCCGCTCTGAATCAGGTCTGCGGCTCCCCTCTTCCCCCTCCCCTCCCTCCTCACCCCTCTCAGCGTGCGGCCACGTGTTCTGCTTCTGGTGCGTGCATCGCGCCATGACGCCCTACAGCGAGAGCCGCTGCCCCATGTGCCGCCGCGCCTTCGCGCACTTTCCTGGAGTGTGCTGGCTGCTGCACCGCTTCCTCTCCTCCGCCTTCCCCGCGGAGCTCCGCGCGCGCGCCAGGGACGTCGCGGAGGAGGAGCGCGCCATGGGCACCTTCTCGCCCTCCGCGCCCCCTGCGCCCTACGCGCCATCCGCTCCCCCCCCGCCCCCTTTGCTTGAGGCAGAGGCGGAGGAACGAGGGGAGGGCAGGAGAGACGTGGTGCAGGAGGAAAATGGGGAGGGGCGAGCGGGGGAGGGCAGGAGAGAGAGGTTGAGTGCGACGGAGGGGGTGTTTCTGGCGTACTGGCAGCAGCGGTTCTCATGTGGGGTGTGCCGCCTGCTGCTGCTGCACCCCGTCGTGCTCAACTGCGGTCATGGTGGGTTCAGTGCGGTGACAGAGGGTTCAGTGCGTTGACAGAGGGTTCAGTGCAGTGAAATGTGAGAGGTTACTGAAATACCCATTTTCCTCCGTTCGCCATTTCCCTTCTCATGTCCTCCGTCCCACCCGTCATTCACACACCCTCCACTCACTCACCCTCCACTCACTCACCCTCCACTCACTCACCCTCCACTCACACACCCTCCAGCCACACACCCTCCAGCCACACTCTCTGGGTTTCCCGCCTCACGAGTCACACAAGCGAGTCACCCGAGTCACCCGAGTCACATGAGTCACCCCATCCACCAGCACGCGCTCTCTCGCCCTTTTGAGAAATTTCGATAGTTTCGCACCCTCCCCCTCCCCCCTCCCTCCCCCTTCCCTTCCAGCCGTCCGCTCTGTCGGTTCGGTACGTCTTCCCGCTCCGCCACATCCTCCAGCGTGTTCGAGAATTCTTGATAATTACTAATCGTTGCCTCCTCCTCCCGCCTGTTCCCCTAATTCTTCGCCCCCCAACCCCTCCCCCCTTGCAGTCGTGTGCGCTGCCTGCACATCTACCCACCTCACCACTTCAGCAAGCACGCCCTCTCTCGCCCACCCCTCCTCCTCCCCCCCGCTCTCCCTCCGCCACTCCTCCCCCTCCTTACCTCATCTCAGCCCGCCCCATACCCTCCCTCCGCACACTCTCCCGCCCCACTCCCTCCTTGTTGCTGCTGCTTCTCCTCCTGCTGCCGCTACTGCTGCTGTTGCTGGTGTTGCTGATGCTGCTGCAAATGGTGGTGATGGTGCTGGTGGTGATACAACTGGTGCTGGTGCCACTGGTGCTGCTGCTGCTGCCGCCGCCACTGCTGCTGCGGGTGTGGCAGGGAGGGACGGCAGGCGGTGTGTGCAGTGTGGAGCGGTGCAGCCAACGAGGCGAGTGGAGGCATGTGTGCCGCTGCATGCCGCCCTCTCCGCCCTCTTCCCTGCCGCCCTGCAGAGGCGCGAGCAGGAGAGGTGCAGATGTGAACGGACGGCTGAGATTACTTGGATGAGAGAGGAAGATCAGGTTGATGGTGAGATGGTGCAAATGAGGGGTGAAGGTGAGAGGGGTGAGGGCGGGAGGGGTGAGATTGTGGGTGCTGGCCGCATGGGAAGCGGTGAGTGTTCAATGCAAGGCAGGGAAGGAGAGGAGGCAGGAAGAGGAACAAGAGAAATGGGAGAGGAGGGAGGAGGTGAAAGGAGAGAGAGCAGGGAGAGGAGAGGGAGGCTGCTAGCAGCTGGTTCCGGTGCAGAAGAGGGTGTGAGAGAGGAGGGCGTGAGGGAATGGGACAGAAGTGAGCGAACTGGTAGGGAAGGGGGGGAGGCAGGGAGTGACGAGAACAGAGGAGGAGAGGAGGGGAGGGAAGGGAGGGGGAGAGGGAGCATCCAGTCAGACACGGAGGGAGGGAGAGGAGAGGAGGAGGAGAGCAGGGTGGGCGATGTGACTGCGGTGAGAACAAGAGAGGAGAGCGGAGAAGAGGCAGCTTTGGCAGAGGGGCAGCAGCAGATGAGCGAGGGAGAGAGCACGGCGGTGCGGGCGGCGTGGGAGCGCGTGCATGCGGTGGTGCGGCGGCTTGACCTGGCGCGCCTTGAGGGGAGCAGCGAGGGGCAGAGCGAGGCGGAGCAGGAGGCACTGATGAGGGAGCTGGAGGAGACGAGGCGAGCCAACTTCATCCACATCAGCGTCGGTTGTGATGGATGCGGGGTGAGTTGACTTGCGTTGACCTGAGTTGACTTGAGCTGGCTTAAGTTGACCAACCCCTTTTCTGTTTATCCCTCCTTTTTCCTTCCCACTTGGTTTCCTCTCTCCTCCCTCTCCCTCCTCTTTCCCCTGATTCTCCCCTCTTTCCTCTCAACCTTCCTCAGGCCTTCCCCATTGTGGGGGCGCGCTACAGGTGCCTTGACTGCCCGGAGCGAGTGGGCTTTGATCTCTGTGCCGCCTGCTACAGCTGCCCGCCCCCGGTGGTGGGGCGCTTCAACCAGCGCCACGTCAGCACGCACCGCATGGTGGAGGTGCGGCAGAGAGACGGCGTGATGCATCGGATATTCGAATCGGTGAGCCCCAAGAATCCTTTGAGCTCGTTTTGGTCAGAACCTTCTTTTGAGGCGCCTCAAAAGTTTGACGAGGTGCACGTTTGAATCGGTGAGGCTTGAACTAGGTGAGCTACGGTGTGTGCGCTTCTTCCTCTCATAAACAATTCTCGCCTGTTGTTCCTGTCGGTGCTGCTTCTTCTGCGTGTTGTTTCACCTCATTGGGCCACCCATTTCAGCAGCATGGGCGTCCGTCTCATGTGTATCCACACACACATGGCCTGGTGGCAGTGATAAAAGGCGAGCAAGTGAGGAGAGAAGACCTTGTTTTCCCTTTTTACCCAGAGCTTCTTCTTGTTACATCTGGCCTCCATTGCACCCACACCTGTTTCTCCTCTCCTGGGCTCTCCTCCTGCTCAGGTGCATCCGAAGCTCATGGCTCGGCTCATGGCATTCATAGAGGAGGAGGAGGAGGAGGAGGAGGAGGAGGAGGAGGAGGAGGAGGAGGAGGAGGAGGAGGAGGAGGAGGAGGAGGAGGAGGAGCGGAGGGAGGAGAGAGTACATGTCTCTCCCTTTGACCCGATACAGTCTCATTAATAAGTGCCCTCCGCCTGCTTCTCAGGTGCATCCGGAGCTCATGGCTCGGCTCATGGCATTGATAACGACGACTAGAAGAGGAGCATAGGGATGAGGAGGAGAGGAGCACAGGGGACGAGGTGAAGACGTCCATGTCGTTTTATTCACCCAATGCTGTCTCTCTTAACATGTGCCTTCCGGTGCACCCAAACCTCTTTCAGATGCATCCAGAGCTGATGGTTCGACTCATGGCATCCATAGAAGAGGAGGCGCGGAGGGAGGAGAGAGTACAAGTCTCTCCCTTTCACCCAATGCTGTCTCTCTCATCATGTGCCTTCCGCCTATTTCTCAGGTGCATCCGGAGCTTATGGCTCGGCTCATGGCATCCATAGAGGAGGAGGCGGACCAGGTGGGGGAGAGGGGGATAGAGATGGAAGGAGAAGAGGCGGATGGGAGAGAAGATTTGAGTGGAGAATGGGAGGAGGCGAGTGGGGACGGAGATGATGGTGAGGATGGTGGTGATGGTGGTGAATCTATTCCGTGAAAGTGGAGGAAAGCAGTGAAGATTATACGGTAGCAAATACCAGTAGGAACACTGGACTGGAGTCCAAGACTGTTGTGTGACTTGTTGAAGTCTGGTAAGCCTCGTTCAGGTTGTTGGGAACAAATAAGTTAAGCGCCTCTGTCGTGTCAGTACTCAAGACACAAAACGAAGCAGCTCAAGTCGAAGCAGCGCGAGTCAACCAACGAGGTTAACGTAACCGTCGGAGGTTACGGGAAAGTCAAAGGGCAGCGACCTTTGACCTGACGCAGCGCGACAGCAAGGACAATCAACTGACTCGACATTGAGCAGTTGCCCGAGTCGCATTGTATCGAACTACAACAGTAAAATTAGTTGTAATGTCTCTTCATATTCTCTGTACTCATCTATTTATATTCTTGTATCCCTTTGCTTTTATGAACTTACTTTGCCCTCACATACTAGCGCAAGGTGGTTCAAGAGCTTTATTCAACGCTTCCGCTATTACAACATCTACTCAAACTTAAACTCTACAAAGATCCTAGGGCGTTTCAGCCCAACATGGTATGAGAGCAGTTAGAGTTAAAATATTATAATTTTTAAACACACATTGTGTTTTTTAAAATTGTGTATTGTGAAAGCGAAGCTGCTTGTACTGCACAATTGGCATCGTCGAAGCGCGCTAAACGCCCTTCTCCAACTACAAAAACCGTGGGTTGGAGTTCATTTCCCTCCACCCACGTTTTTCGATTTTCCAACGGCTCACTCAACATTTCTGCTCACGTAGCTTATCCCTCCGTCCAAGCTGGCTAGAACAAAATCGCTTCCTAGAGGTGAGTCACCTTCGACCTTACTCAACGATATTTTTAACTTCAATCGCTCAACGATGGCACCGACGCCGACACTTAACCACGGGAACTCGTCCAACCCTGCCTCCGACAACGACCGTAACACCCGCGATTTGGCGGGCGAACGCCGTAACAAGCGACGGGCAGAAGATGGACCGCCCGCCCCGACTGCAGTGGACGTGCTGCTGGGCGGGCTCGAGGTCAACAACTCGGCCAACGCCCAGCAGCACCCTTCGGCGCCAGTGGCGCCAGTGGCGCCTGAGGTGCCTGTGACGCTAGTGGCACCTGCGGCGCAAGTGGCGACGGCCGCGGGCGTGGCACACGCCACTGACGCCGAGCACACGTCAGCACCCGCGGCTGGACCGTCGCGTCAGCGCCAGAGGAGGCGGACGGCGGTCTCCTCGTCTGACGCGACGACCGCCCCTGCGTTGACGCAGGCGTTGACCCCGGACCAGGTCAACGCGCTGCTGTCCCTTCTACAGCAGCAGCCCGTCAGCGTTACAGCCGCGGAAACTGCACTACCCGCTGCATCTGCGTCGGCTAAAAACGAAAATGCGAAAAAGGAAAAAGGCGCGCGAGGAGCAAGGACCATTCGGCACGACAACGACGCAGCAGCAGCAGCACCCCCCGCTCCAGCGGTCGACAACGACACCGACGACTCTGAAGATGACGCCGGTGAGGCTCCAGTCAACAATGTTAATTTTAATGGCACGGAACACCTTCCCCCCCTCCCTTCTTCTAACCTCACCTTCTCGGCGGCAACATTCGTCAACGACTCCGTGCGAGAGCAAGCGGAGCTGCTGGAGGACTTACGCGCGTACCTGCTGCACGCGGAATATAAGGCGCAGCGCGGAGACCCAGCGGGCGGACTCGAACTCATCTCGCACGCTCTCAACCTCATCTCGAGGCGTTTTGAGGTGCTTCAAGTGGAGGACGCATCCGACTTCCGCACGGCGAAGCGCTTCAAGTTGTACCAGCAGAAGAGCCTGCTGACTTCTCGACCCTTCAAGCAGGCGGTCGCAGACATGGCGGCAATGGACCGTGCGGCAAACGGATATGCTCGTGCCAACCGCGGCGGAAACAACGCGCCGTTGCCATTTTTACCCAAGCGGGGCCCCCCGCCCACAGCCACTTGCCGCGGGTTCCGGGGCTCGTGCTTCCGCTGCGGTCAGCCGGGCCACGTGGCAAGTGCCTGCCCTAGGAACGGGCACGGCGGCCAAGGACCCGCTCCGGTGGTGTAGGAGCGGGCCATGGGAATAGGCGCTTGAGCGCTAGGCACGGTGCACTCTTGAGTGCGAAAACCGTGGGCAACCCTAGGGGTTTGCGATGGCAAGAGGCCAGCCCTATTGAAGGGTAGGAATAGGCTTTGGGCCTAGGATAGGGAAGGGGAGCAACAACCCCCTCGGTCCCATGTAGTTCACCACTCAGTAGCATGATGCATGCTAGGAGAGCATTGCTATGTGTGTTGGTTGATTTGATTAAAAAAAAAAAAGAAAAAACCTTCTTAAAAGCCTACTGTTTTGGCAAAGAGACTCTGAAACAATCAAGAGGAGGATCAGAAAGAGAGAGAGAGTGTGTGTGTGTGTGTGAGAGAGAGCGAGAGAGAGAGAGAGAGAGAGAGAGAGAGAGAGAAAGAAAGAGAGAAAGAGAAAGAACGAGATACAACATGGTGGGCACGCATGTCCATGATTCCACGCACCAGCCCCCACGAACTACGAGTAAGAGAGAGCATGAAAGAGAGAGGGAGAGGGAGAGAGAAAGAGAGAGAGAGAGAGAGAGAGAGAGAGAGAGAGAGAGAGAGAGAGAGAGAGAGAGAGAGAGAGAGAGAGAGAGAGGGAGGGAGAGAGATGGAGAGAGAGAGAGAGAAAGAGAGAGAGAGAACAAGAGTGAATAAGAGAAACACAATGGACAAGTGTGTCCATGGCCATAGGCATCATCTCCCATGCACTAAGGGCAGGCACAACCACATCCTACCGAGTGCACGATGGGCAAAAAAAAAAAAAAAAAAAAAAAAGCGGAGGAAACGAGGAGAAGAAGAAGCGTCGTTTCGCGCCCGACACATTCGTTGACATTTCCGTCGGTTTTTATTTTCTTCACACATTTGATCAAGGGCTGCCCGTACATGTACATGCACACGCATGCTTTAACATGGAATACTCAACCCGTATACCACTTGGCCTCCCATGCACAGGAGCACGACGGTGCGAGGAGGCAGGCTACGATGACCCGTACGAATTTGCCGTTACAGACAGAACCATTACACAGATGCGCGGTCGTCTTCGCGCGACCTTTGCGTGGTGGAGCTCATGGTGCCCCAGCAGCCTCGTTCTCTCCGTCATCGCCAAGGGTTACTGGTTGCCATGGAGCCACGGCCCACCACAACCTTTCCACGATCGCAATCATGTCGGGGCGAACACGCATGCCACGTTCACACGTACCGCCATCCAAGAACTCATAGAGACGGGAGCGGCAGTTCCGATGGCCGCAACGGAACTCAAGTGCATAAGTCCACTTAACGTGGTCAAGCAAAAAGACAAATGCAGGCTCATTCTTGATCTGAGAAAGGTCAACGCCAACTTGATTGTCCCCAAGTTCAAGTACGAGGGGCTCAGCCGTGTCGCCGACCTGGCGCGCGTTGGGGACTGGATGTTCTCCATTGACCTCAAATCTGGTTACCATCACATCGACATCCACCCATCGTGCTGGAAGTTCCTTGGCTTCGAATTCGATAGGCGCACATACGCCTTTCGTTCACTACCATTCGGCCTCGCGACGGCTCCATTCGTCTTTACACAGCTCATCAAGCAACTAGCTCGGCGTTGGCGAGAACAAGGCATCCGAGTCGTACCTTACGTGGATGACATCTTATTTCTCTGCCAGTCGAAAGCCGATGCGCAAGCAATCTGCCAGCAGGTGATATTGGACCTCAAAGAGGCAGGCCTTGTGATAAACGCGAAGAAATCACAACTGTCACCATCGCAACATCTCCGATTCCTGGGCGTAGAACTGGAGACCGACACCAGCCGATTCTCCATCGGTCCCGACCGACGAGCCTCACTACATGCAACCATCCAGAACCTCCTGAGTTCAAGCAGGGCATGCCGACCAATCCCGGTCCGCCACGTGGCCAGAATCACTGGGATGCTTGCATCGATGGGTGTCGCACTTGGCGCGACCGCTCGCGCATTCAGCCACGCTATGTTGCAAGTGATCAACGAAGCACCGTCTTGGAAATGCAGCGTGGTTATCCCCCCATCTGCAGCAGAGGAGCTCCAATTTTGGCTCGAGGAGTTTGACCGTTTCAACGGTGCACCTTTTCACGTCAGTGTGATAGTAGGAAAACAGGAATGAATGAACTATGAATGAAAGCAGTACAAATATGAAACCCTAACTGGGTTGTACCCCCTATGGGATACCCCACTACAGCCTACACAACAGTATAAGCTATAGATATGTTCTGACACACCCCCATAGGCAAAGTGGGGGAGAACAAGGGGTCACAAGACCAGTCAAGCAAGACAAAGCAAAGCTCAGGGTGGATCACAAAGTCACCACACAGTCCGAGCACAAGAGTGAGGCCAAAGGCCAGTTCACAAGCAAGAGTACAGACATATATATAAAGCTAGACAAGCAAGAGCAGGTATATATATATATGTCACAGTACAAGTGAAGTCAAGAGGAGAGCAAGTGAGGCAAGACAGGCACAAGACCCAGCTGGGTGCAGAAGCGCTGATGGTCACAAGGCGCAAGTGCCTTGGTGAACACATCAGCAGTGTTGGCCTCAGAGGCCACGTACGCAAGTCGCAACTGACCACGCTGCTGCAGCTCACGAGCAAGGAAGTAGCGGAGAGCAATGTGCTTCGTTCTGTGCTCCAAGCGCTGCTCTCGACACAAGGCCAGCATAGCCTTGTTGTCTACGTACAGCACTGGAGGAGAACGAGGCGGCTCTCCAAGGTCAGTCAGCAGGTAGGTGAGCCAGCGAAGCTCCTGTGCAGCCATGGCCCCGGCGTAGATCTCAGCCTCACAACTGGAGCCGAGAACCGAAGACGAGCGAGTAGACCGCCACGAGACAGAGCCGGAACCAAGGCTGAAGGTGTAACCCTGTGACGACCGCTGCGTAGCCTGGTCGTCAGCCCAAGACGCGTCCGCGTGGCCGGTAAGGACCACTGGACTCCG